TGTATTATCTGCCATGTGCTCCTACGGTACCTGGCATGGTGTCTTGCATGGAGCCCATGCTCAATAAATTTTTGTTGATTTGAGTATAAAACCATAAGAAACTAATGTATATGGTTATGTTAGGTACCTGCATAATGTGTTTTTGAACAGGCTTTTGATTAGTCTTAATGTACAGAAAACTGTTTCCTACTGACAGTGCATTTGGAAATTGCCAAGAGGGCAATAAATATGCACATAAAATCCAGCTTTGCTCAGACCTGGACAGAATCTCTTTGGTTCCTGGGACTTCTGTTTGCCAGGCACCCACAGGGGCTGGGGCTGTCCCTGGGCTGCCTCCTTTTTTTAAAAAAATTATTTATTTATTTTTAATTTATTTATCCTTGGCTGTGTTGTGTCTTTGTTGCTGCACGCGGTCTTTCTCCAGTTGCGGCGAGCAGGGGCTACTCTTCTTTACGGTGCGTGGGCTTCTCGTTGTGGTGGCTTCTCTTGTTGTGGAGCACGGGCTGTAGGTGTGCAGGCTTCAGTAGTTGTGGCACGTGGGCTCAGTAGTTGTGGCACATGGGCTCAGCAGTTGTGGCTCTCAGGCTCTAGAGCAGAGGCTCAGTAGTTGTGGCACATGGGCTTAGTTGCTCCGTGGCATGTGGGATCTTCCCGGACCAGGGCTCAAACCCGTGTCCCCTGCATTGGCAGGCAGATTCTTAACCACTGTGCCACCGGGGAAGCCCGCCAATTGATTTTTGACAAGGGTATGAGGTGCATCAATGGAGAAGAAAATCATCTTTAACAAATGATGCTGAGACAGCTGATGTGCACATGCAAGAGAATGAGGCTGGACCACAAGCTCACACCATAGGAAAAAAATAACTCCAAATGGGTCAGTGACCTAAATTTAAGAACTGTGGGGAGAGGAGAATGGAGGAGAAACCATTTAATGAGTAAGGGGTTTTACTCTGGAGTGATGGAAGTGTTCTGGGACTAGGTAGAGGTGATGGTTGCACAGCATTGTGAATGTTCTAAATGCCACTGAATTGTCCACTTTAAAATAGTTAATTTTAAGTTATGTGAATTTTACCTCAATAAATTATTAACAAAACAACCAAACAGAAAATGCAGTGTGTGATTTGTGATCAGGTGTAAAAGGGACACTCATACGTTGGAGCTGATTTCAACCTTGAACTCCTCACTTCCAGAACTTTGGTCACATGACCCAAGAAAGAACCAGGAAACCAGGCAGCACACCGGGGGTAACTGGCACCAGAAAACTAGGTTGCACAATGGCCTTGACTTTAGCCTGCTGTTTTCTGCTATAAAGTTACTATACATTTACTTTTGGAGAAAAAGAGAAAAAGTAGTGCTCACGCGTCCTGTGTTTTTGCCCATGCCCTGGCCATGGTGAATCTTTTAAAAGCGTTAAAAAGGAGGTGGGGGGCTTCCCTGGTGGCGCAGTGGTTGAGAGTCCACCTGCCTATGCAGGGGACACGGGTTCGTGCCCTGGTCCAGGAAGATCCCACATGCTGCGGAAAGGCCCGCTTAAAAAAAAAAAAAAGGACGTGGGGTAGGAGGGAACCATTAAGCCATCTGGGCAGCAGTATTCTAGGCAAAGGAACCAGAGCATGTGCAAAGGCCCTGAGGCAGGGGTATGTTTGGTGTGTTGGAGGTACCAAAGAGAGGCCATGGTGGTTGCAGCAGAGTGAACTGAGAGGGAGGGAATCATGGTGGCCTGATTGAGCAGGGCCTCACGGGCCACAGTGAAGACCAGCATTTTCTTAGTGAAAAGGAAAGCCAGCCAAGGATTTTAGCTGTAGAGTGACTTGATGTGACTTCATAATCTCATTTCATTTTTTTTTTTTTTTTTGCGGTACGCGGGCCGCTCACTGTTGTGGCCTCTCCTGTTGCGGAGCACAGGTTCCGGACGCGCAGGCTCAGCAGCCATGGCTCACGGGCCCAGCCGCTCCGCGGCATGTGGGATCCTCCTGGACCAGGGCAAGAACCCGCGTCCACTGCATTGGCAGGCGGACTCTCAACCTCTGCGCCGCCAGGGAAGCCCTCGTTTCATTTTTAACAGGACCTCTGTGATGGAGAATAGAATGTAGATGATTATACAAGTGACTGATTAATTACAAGTGTGATAAGAGCTAGACAGGAGAGTCCAGGTGCTTTGGGAATGCAAAACAGGAGACCCTGGGAGTTTGGAGATGACTCTAAGTAGATATGGTGCTGGTAATACTCCCTGCCAGCGGATGCTTTGGGAGTCTTCCTCAAGTGGGGCATCTGAAGCATTCCACTGGCTGTGAGTCTGAAGCGGGCTCACTGTGCTTATCCAGCCTCATGGGAGGGGGAGAGGATGGGAGTCAGGCTGGCGAGAGCCTCAGGACACTGCAGGATCTGCCTACCTCACCGTCTTTCCTAAGATGTGTCAGGCACTCGAGGCCCCTGATGGCTCTAATTGAAATCCTCTCTGTCACTGAGATGTCAGGTGAGACAGCTCCTGTTCCTAAATGAAGCCCTGGCTGGAAGTTTGATAGTCCCAGCTGGGAGGCGGTCCTGCTGCTTAATCACCCAAGGACAGACAGAACTGGTCACACCCTCTATGGCATTTTGCATCTTCTGGCCTGGCCTGTGCATCCAGGAGACTCAGTGGTCACAGACCTTACAGATGAAACTTGTGTCTGATAACTGTCCCCCAAGCACCTCTGTATCAGTCGGGGTCAGCGGGAAGCAGACACATACTCCAACTAGGTTAACTCAAAGTGGGATTAATAAAAGGGCTATTTACAGCTGTCTGGACAAGGTGTAGGGAAATCGTAAGG